CCTGCTGCAGTTTGGTTTTCTCTCCCAGAGATTATTGCCCGAATTTATTGCCTGCAATTTCTTCTTCTGTGTTCTTAAGGTCTAGGAATATTTATGGTCTCTCCCCGCTGGGGATTTTTGCTACACAGTGTAATTGCTTAATGCCAGTGTTGTGGTTCCAACTCATCTGTGTGGGTGTGGGCAACGACCTGTGCCAGTCCAAGTTAAACTCTTGCTTCTGTCAGAAGGGGTTTCTTTCTGTCTGATTTTTGCCTCATGTTTCCCTTAAAGTAAGGAAGCGTTCAGTCATGAAATCCTCTTAGTTACTTGCTCAGAACTACTTGAAGAGCGGACACATCATTTTACGAACTCCTTCACTCCTGTGGAGTTTCACACCTGGAGAGGGATGTTTACTGTAAGCAAGGAGGGGGGTTGCTAAGGTGAGACCCACCAAGGCTGGCTTTGACAAGGAGAGCCCAGTCCCACAGTCTGCTACAAATGGAGACAGACCCTTTTTTCAGCAGTAACTAAGTGAATATTCAGAAGCCCAGAGGAGCTCGGCAGGTCGGTCCATCTCCAGCCGGTTTGCTGGTATGCAGGCCTTAATAGAGGGTGGTGTTATACAGGCTGAAATGTCTTGGCTGCTCCGTGGTTGTGGCCTTAACCTTCCAACAATACAAACACAGCATGGTATACCGTGTCGATTAAATACATATAGAGAATAATTCAGGTGTGTGTCCAGGAACTTGCTAGACTTTCTAAGCCACGCCACAGCCTTGTAGCAGCATTCACTTTGCTGTAGCCTAACCAATTTTGGGAAAGGCGGGCTCCTCGCATATCATATACAAGTGTTGAATCTAAACATATCTCAGGCTTTTAGTAGATATGTTTCATTTTCTGATTTTTTTATACAACCACCACATACACTTCTGGCAGAACACGGTACCCGAATACATAGAGATCAGCAACCAGATCGTTTTGTTCTCAGCTTTATCCTGTAAATCCATTATGCCATTTGCTTTGCAGCAATGAAAATGCAAAACCTGGCCCATGTATAAAGACCGTTAAAAGACCTGTCAATCTGCAAGCTATTCTTCTGCTAAATGACGAGATTAGCATACCTCTCAATGTCTAGGATTGTTCTTGCACTTTGTCATTTGTGACCTCAGGTCCTCTCCACTTCATTGTGCCTTAGATTCCTCCCCCTTCTTCTACACAGTCAGCAAAGAAAGTGCTTACAACTTCTGAAGAACAGGAACTTCCCCGTTAGCCACACAAAAGCAAGGCTGCTCCAATAAGAGGAAACGTAAACCTCTTCGTGTAAATTAGGGGTTTGTCTTTCTCCCCCCAAATAAATGTACTAAACAAGATGCTTTTGAAAGAAAGTATGTATACAGTGTCAAGCTTGCAGGATAAGCTTAGGTAAACTCTTCAGTGTGTTTTTCCCTCCTCCTCTCCCCTACTCCCAGACAAACTACCGTCACACAAGGCGGGCAAGGGCTCATTAGATGCTTTAGGTCTGCTTAGAAGCAGCTCTTTCAGTGTGTGTGATATACAAGTATGTGACAGTATATAACAACTATAGGTAAGAAGGTAAATCCATAAAGCTACAGACTGCACAAGCCTATAAATGAAAGCCCGCCATACCGCCAAACACTTCTAAAGTGTTTTGAGTTGATTTTGACCTGAAGTCCTGTCTTGCTGTTAATCCTGAGGCCAGACATCTGTGGAGTAAAAACATAATTGCAGGTGGCTGCACAGTAAAGGTATCCATATAATGAATACTAGATGAGATACATTATCTAGTTGTAGGTGACTCAGTTAATAGCACTTGCATTAAACTTACCAAATGCTCCTAACTGATATGCTTTGAACACTTCACTGTAAAGGAAGGGCGTGTGTTCATGCTTAAAAGTAGTTTGTCTACATCCTTGGGTGAATCCTTCCAAATTTAGTTGCTGTTAGTGACAGAAATCAGCTTCGTTAAGCTGTCAGAAGTGGTCTGCCAGGGAGTTTTCCTGTTGCGAAGCTCCCAATTTGTGACATCCCCCTAAGTTATTAGTCAGGCTCGGTGTAGGCCTTCTTTCTGAAAGAAGCTTTTTCCCTTGACTCTAAGCCCTTGCTTCAAACCCGCATTTATTTAAGAGCTGGTTTTAATTCTTCTCCTTACAGAGGGAAATTTGGAAAAGTACACATGAACCAGTGTAGCTATGTGACAGGGGTTACACAAGTCCTTGAATAACAGCTTTGAGAGCTATAGACTACTTCATTCATCTTAATGATTATTTAATCTTGGAGGCTGACAGTAAGTTCCTTGCCTACAGCATATTGAAAACTGACAGGGAGAGGGCATGATAAAGTAATGTGAATTTAATAGCAAAATAAATAATAGAAAAACTACTGCACTGATTACCTTATTCATTATCCTACTGAAGACAATAGGAAACCCAGGCTCCCAGCACCTTCTGGAAGAGGTGAAGTTTCCATCTGAACATTATTTGCAATGGGAAACACGTGGCCTTGGATGAGCAGCCAGCTCCTGCTGAGCCCAGGGTGGTGAGAAGATTGGAACAGTAAACTCCTGTACATTATACTCCTTCACCAGTAATGAAAGATAAACAAATGCCACTCCCAGCTATTTTACAGCCCCAGTCGCAAGGGCATGACTTATCATTTTACTACACATTGGTGGAATAGAAGTAACCGTGAAGGGAATGAGTCTCTAGCTATCTGTCCCAGAGGGCATTGCTGAGCCTCTAATGCCCAGGAGTAGGAGAAAGGTTTCTTTCCGGCTGCCTACCAACCCACCTTCCTCTTCCTTACCAGCCTCCTAAAGGTGTGTGCAGGCAAAACAGTTTTGGCCTTCCATGGCTGCTCACTTGCCTGTACCAGCTACCAGCCACCAAGTTCTGCTGAGACCTCAAGCCACATTATCTGCAAGCACCATGGCAGAGGTCTTTGTTAAATTCCCCAAGACCACCAGGCTCATTATATTGCAGCACTGCCTCCATAAAGTTACTTGGGGTTGATTGGCAGGACTTTTCTGCCATTATTATCATGATCCTTAGCAAATATAACTAAAATCTGGGCCTACTGTTAAGGAATGTGTTCTAGATCTCAGTTGATGGAATCCAAATCAGTGTAATTCCCAGTACCAACCTGTCTATGAGTGACTGGGTTTGATTGCCTGCTGAAACTGACATGACAACTGAACTGACATATGCTCTTTTGCTGTTACATTGCTTTTCAATAACCGAAACTCTTTCACAAGTGATACATATTTTGCAACATCCGTGTTGCCTCGTATATTTCTCTCCCTCATATTTTCATAGGTTGGATCTCATTTGTAGGCTTTGAAGTGGTATTTGATATAGAAGAAGCTGTTTTCTGTAACTACAGTATTTTTACCAATTCTGTGTTCTTTTTAAATCCAGTCTTGAGGTGGTTGCAGAGTTTGACTTTCTCACCCCTCCGTAATCACCCCCGTTTTGTATGGATTCGTTCCTGACAATCTACCCGACAAATTCAGTAACAGGCCACTTTTATTCACATGGACAGATTCCTCTTTAAAAGCCCCTCAGCCTTCAGATTATTGGAGTGAGCGACCCACCACCACCTTCTCCAGCCAGAAGGATGCTGGCATTCGCTGGCGAGGTCCAGCAAGGATTAGTTTGACTGATGAACTGCTGCAGTAACCAACGCTCGCTCTGCCTTACGCTATACCTAATGCTTTAGTCTAGATTTCAAACTCTCATTTACAAAGAAGGGGTATGTCTCAACTATTAAAAACCTGTATTGAATACATAAACCCAGAATGCAATGTACCGGGTACATGGTAAAAAATATGCCTGATCACATATGGTGTCTGAAAAGTTAAAAACCAGACATTAACACTTACAAAACAAGAGCTCAATTAGAATAAACGTTTACTAAACTTGACTTTCTCTGCTATAAAACTGAACAATTACCAGTTGCCTCTAGGACACGCAAGTTAACGATGTACTTCAGTTTGGCATAGCAGCGCAGTATTTCTGACCTGCTGACAGCGTGAATCTCCCCACCTCACAGCAACCCATTCCTGGAAAGGCCGTACGGAGTCAGACAAGCTACTTTGAATTTTCTGGCATACTTTTAAATGGCCAACTGCTGGGGCCTGCTTAACGCGTGGGTCTCCTGCGGCTGCTGGCACTGCAGCCGTTTCCTGACCCAGCACCTGCGTCCCCCCCTGCGCCACAGGTCTTCTCCAGACCCCAGCAGCAGAAGCTGTCCCACCCGGACAGAGAGCTGCCCACAACATCCTCCACAAAACCCCTCAATTAACCAGCCTAGAACTTTAACGCACAAAACTCCGCACGCGTTAAACGAGCGGTTTGCACTCCTGCAGAGAGATGTACCCCAGGAGGAGGTTATGGGGCTGGAAGCCCCAGCACAATCTCGGCTCCGCTGAGGGGCCCGGAGGCTCCCCTCTGCCGTGTCCGCCCCCGCGGCTCCCCCCGGCCCCACCGCGCCCCTGCCAGCGGGACCGCCGCCCGGGAATGATCCCGTTTGCTTAAAAATATAGAATCATAGAATTTCCCAGGCCGGAAGGGACCTCCAAGGGTCATCTAGTCCGACCTCCCCACAGTCAGCAGGGACACCCCCAACTAGATATGAACCTACGTCTGTGTGTGTATATATATATATATATATATACATGCATGTATATATATATATATATACATGCATGTATACGGCCTGCCAACTTCGGGTGCTCGCAGGCGACCCTCGGGGCCGGCCAGGTTTGGGGTCACCTCCCCGAACCCCGGTGGGGCACCCCCAGAGCAGCAGCACCCGGGGAAGGGAGGGGAGGGGGCGGGGGGGCCAAGCCGGCCCCTCGGTCGGCGGCAGGAGGAGGAGGAGGAGATACCCCGCGCTGCAGCCCAATGGGAACGGCGGCGCTTCCCTTTCTCCCGTTTCCTTTCTCCACCCCCGGCCCCGGGCTGGGGAGGCGGGAGGCGGCGGCGCTGCAGCCCGGCTGCCGGCGGGGCCGGAGGCAGCCCCGCACGGCCCCTTCTCCGCCTCCGCAGAAACACCTGCGGGGGGAGAAGGAAGAAGGATGCCGGGGGGTGGCCGCCTTCCTCGGCGGGAGCGCGGGCTGGCCTCGGAGCCGCCCCGGCGAGGAAGAGGAGGAGGAGGAGGAGGAAGAAGAGGAGGAGGAGAGGCAGAGAAAGGAGCGGGAGGGAAGTGGGGAAGTTGTGCCTTGCGCGCCCCGCCGAGAGCCGGAGCCATGGGCCCCGTCGGGGGGGCGCGGGCCGCCCCCTCGCTGCTGCTGTCGCTGCTGCTCGGAGCCTCGGCCCCGCTCTGGCTGCGGGCAGAAAAGCTGGGTGAGTGCGGGGGGCGAGTGCGGGGGGCGAGGGGAGGGAAGGAAAGGAAGGGAGTCCGGCGTGCACGGTTCCCCCCGAGGGGGAGTCCGTCCCGCGGTGGGGTGAGGGGGGGGAATGGGGGTCGTCGCCGTCGTCCTCTCCTCGGGAGCGCAGGCTGAGCCGCTCTCGGGGCTGTATATAGTTGACCTGGTTAATCCTTGCCGGGTTTATCCCCGTGTCTGAGTAGCAGCGAGATTAAAGCGGTAACCGGCCTTACGGTAAATGTATACTACGGCTCGCTTAATCTTTCCTTGATTAGGACTTTTTTTTTTTTTCTTGTTAGTCAAGTAAGTGGAAAAAAGTCTTTGGCGGGAGGCAAGGGGGCGGCTCCGGCGGTTCCCGCGGTTCCCGCTGCCACCTGGGCGCCCCACCGGGAGCTCCGGCCACCGGCAGCGCCGCCTCTGCTCCCGCCGACACCGGTACTGGCACCGGTAGCTCCCGTCCCGCTGCTGGACGGATACAGGCTGCCCGGTTCGCCTGCTCCCTCGCTGGGAGAGAGAAAAGCCCTCACCCGTGCCGGGACAAAGTTTGGTAGGAATCTCAAGGGGATCTTGCAAGCCCTGTGGTGGGACTGCCGTTTGCTAAAGCGGGGGCCCAGCTGCTCTTCTCCTCACTCTTGTGTTTTTATGCTGCTCACGGTTAAGCTTCCTGTGTAAATTACAAGTCCAGCTGACTTCTACCCAGGAGTTGGGACCTTGTGGCTGTGGCATTGCATGGCCTGATGCAGCCGCTGTAGAAGAGTTCGCTGACAGCTACTGGTAAAATAGTTAGCACTGGAAATTAAGCGTCATAATGAGCTTGACAACACATTCGGATAAATTAATAGTCCCTGTGTGAATGTTCCAACCTGGCTGCAAATCCCAAAACCAGGTGCTGTGCATTAGCATTGTATCCAGGCAGTGGTACAAACTACTTTATACCTGTTCCTCCTGTGACTTCCTATTAGCGGAGATTCCCAATATAGCTCTCTACAGAGGGGAAAATTCGCTGGGTTGTGTCGCCTTTTCACTTGTCAGCTTTATACAGTAGCATTTTTCCCTTGAAGCTTTTCTGTTAAGTCCTCAATATGTTTCCCCATCTTGAGACTCCAACTTGATATGCTCCAAGAAACAGGTATGCAGAGAAAAAAGAACAACCAAACCCCTTGAGTCCCCTCTTTTCATCCGTGTTTTGGTTTTGTTTGTTTCCTCTTTCGCCAATGTTTGTCTCTCACGTGATGACATCAAGGAGAAAGTCGTTTGGAGAATCAGTTAGAAACAATTAAGTTTTCTGGGATTTCTGGGGGGTTTAGTGCATACAGTAAGTGTGTTAGCAGTAAGTATAAATCATATGCCTTGTCTGTATTCCCAAATCAATTGCTAAAGGAATCTAGGTTGTATTCATGTTTGAAATGTCTCTACCATCAAACCAACAGCATGGAAGCACAAAGGAATATTTTATTTGATTCTCTTTGGAACCAATTCAAATTTACATGATAGCCTGCCCGATGTCTAGAAAGCAGAAGAGATTTTGGCCCCTGTTTTTCCTTTCTCCTCAGAGGGCAGTTATTCTATTTGTTTGTTTATTGCTATTACCCTATAAATTAGGGGCTAAGTGTTCTAAAGTCACACCAGTGGAGAAAGGAGATAAGGGTAAGTGGATACAAACTTCCTGTTGCACAAGCTTCTTTGACTTGATTTAAAAGTTGTAATGGAGCACAAGAAGTGCCAGAGTGAATCAAGCTTGAGTTTCAGCTAATTCTGTATCTTGTCACCACTGGTGTCTTCCACCAGCTGGTTCAAAGAAAGATGTGCTGGTTTAAATATATTGATTTAAAAATACTCATTTTTGAAAAAGAGTAGTACATTTTTCTGGCTTCTCATGAGCTGGCTGCGCAACCTGCTTTTTTTCATGACCAGTTTGCCTTCATCTTCAGTTTTTCCTGAGGGATGCTACAGAGCAAGGATGAAGCTGCTGTTATAGCCTCTCTTCTCTTACTTAGTTTTTAAATTAAGGAAAAGCCTCTTTGTTCACTGTGGCTTGGTTACTTCATACTCATACTGAGTGTGACTGTCCAGAGCCCCAGCGTCAGCTCTTTTTCTGCTCTTGAAAATGTATTAACTGTGTGCGTTGTGCGAGGACATTATGAAACATGGAATTTTGTTGTTCACAGAATGATGATAGGAAAGGCTTAGTAGGTCTCACCTGGGAACAAATATCACATCTATGGCACTGCATGAGTAATAAATAGCTTTGGGATTTATAATAAAAGGTGGTTCTTTTCCCTCTTTATTCTGCTGTATACTGATCTTAACTTTTCTTGTTGTTTTCTGTTGCCAGCTCTTTGCTGACAACTACAAAACGTACCTTGTTCCCTGCCTGCCAGCTTCACGCAGCCATGCCTGACCTGGTATCTCTTCTCAAAATCTCCTCCCAACAGTTTAAACCCAAGGCAGAAGGGAGGCAAACCTGAACACATTATCTTTGCCTTTCACCATTCTCTAGTTTTCCTTCTGGTCTCATTGAGCAAGACCTTGAACCATGTAGTTGTGGGCAGCAGATACCTAAATCAAAGTTGAATCTGCGTCTGAGAAGAGAGTTTTGAGTCATCCTCTGTTACGTTTCTGGTCAGTAGGACCTAAAACTGACCTGAGGGTTGGTAGTTTGTAGGAAAGCATAGGAAGAAGAAGGATTTTACTCTATTAAGAACAAGATTTAAGTAATCACTGTAACTCATTTATTTTCACTTCAAATACAGCACAGCAGGGAAACTAGTTCACAAGGGATTTGCAGATCAGCATCCAAACGTGAACTTTGCTTGCAGTATTTCTGGGTCTTTTGACAGTTGCACCCAGTGCTCAGTTGGAAGAACTGATGGACGGTAGACTTTTTAACATTTTGAGGCAAGGCTGCTATTTAATGTGACAACAGCATATGCAGTAATTATGAGAGATTATGCCTGTTCTCGGGGGGGGCTTGTACAAAACCCGTACCAAAGAATATTGGTGCGATCTTGCTAATCCACTTTGCATGCCCATTTCCAGCAGTTTGAAATGCAGAGAGAGATGAATCTTTATTGTACCCACCCTCCTCCAGTTTCTGAGTACAAGTGATTGGTAAATTTTCAGTTTGTTTGCATTTTGTCCTTATGTCTGTTTCCTTCCTTGGCTCCCTCTATCTTGCCTTGTGAATGCTGACTGGAATTGCTAAAGAGGGAGGCAACAGTTTTCCGGTTGCAGTTCATAAGCGATGCGTGTACCCACCACATGAAAACTGCAATGTTTTCAGTCGCACAGACTCTGCTATAAATAGCTCCAAGTCCTTTATGTGTACTTCTCTTTAGGTTATCAGGGGACATATTTCAAACAAAATCAGAGACAGGGAGGCCACCGGGAGCCTCACTGGCAAAGGAGGGAGCAAAAAAAAAAGCCTTGGGAAAGTTACCTGCACATGCACATAACATGCATGGTTGTTGAATCATAATTCATGCAAATCACTTGTTGATTTGCATATGCAAAACTCCAATCATTTATATTTATTAAAACCATGTCACCTTTAGTCAGCTTGAGCTACATGTGTGGCGCAGTAAAAATTAGTTTGAAAACCATGGACTTTGAGGATGTTTAGACTACTGTATAGAGATGCCTCAGGTACTTCCTCAGAGCCATTTTAGGTACCAGGACTAGTACAGTTTTGAAAGCCCATCTGAGCGGACACACCATGCCAAGAAGTGGGGTCCTGAGCGGTGGCAGGCACAGAAGTCCTCAGCATAGACACTGCTGTAGTTTGGGGCTGGCTGTATTGTATCAGATGCTCTCCTGTGGCATGTACCCATCAACACATGGGTTTGCACCATCTGCTAAGAATAAAACAAGCCAGACAAAATCAAAATAAAATTCTTCTGACTGGATTCAGTGGAATGGCATTGGAGCCCAACTATCTGCAATAAAAAATGTTAATAGTAACGCATAAGAATGAGCACACAACTTTCCCAAAAGGTTTAATTAACTTTACAACTGGGAGTAGAAAATTTCAAACTGGGACAATCTACTAGTGATGTTTAAATAAAAAAGGATAGTAGTTTGACTAGTTTTAAGAGTATTGAGATATCTTAATTTTTGCTTTCAGAATAAATTATGAACCATCTAATTAAACTGATTTTTGTCTGTGAAAATTGTGTGAGTGCTGAAGACACATTTTTGAGGTTGGCTGGACGCTTGCACATAGAGAGGCTGCCAGTAGTTATGGTTAGGATTGTTGATCCTGTATAATTAGGCCTGGGAGCTGAGAGTATTATGAGGAGGAAACACTTTGGTCTTTCATTCCCTGTCTCTTCTTTTGACAGAGCCAGGACTTGCCTCTTGGGAGTTTCCTTCCAAGAGGTGAATGCTTAGTTTGGTGATGGTGGGACTTTCTCATCCTCCCTGAGCAGATTTCTAGGCCCAGTGCATCCTTACTCACTCTTTCTGTTTCCCTGGTGGGACGGGGCTGCTGTCTGGTGGCAGCAGGTGCCCATGAGGCAGCTCCTCCACGCTGCTCCTCTGCATCGGCAAAGGGAAGGACCAGTGCGCCCAGGCCATGCTCTCTTTTGGACCTGTTAGAGCAGGTCCAGAGGAGGACCACAAAGGTAATCAGAGGGCTGGAGCACTCTGTTATGAGGACATGCTGGGAAGGTTGGGCTGGTTCAGCCTGGAGAAGAGAAGGCTCCAAGGAGACCTTATAGTGGCCTTCCAGTACTTAAAGGGGGCCTAAAGGAGAGATGGGGACAGACTTTTTACCGGGGACTGTTGCGATAGGACAAGGGGTAATGTTTTTAAACTAAAAGAGGGTAAATTTAGGCTAAAGAAGACATTTTTTACAGTGCACATAGTGAGACACTGGAACAGGGTGCCCAGAGAGGTGGTAAATGACCCATCCCTGGAAACATTCAAGGTCAGGTTGGATAGGGCTCTGAGCAAGTTGATCTAGTTGAAGTTGTCCCT